CAAAAGCACCGGCAGCTCTCAGTGCGGCTTGCACCAGAGTCCAGAGGAATGTTGTTCAGGGTTTGAGATTTCCTGGGTCCTGGTGAACGTAACACAGAGCTGTCTTGTCCGTGTGCCGACATGGAGCCTGTGGGTGTGAGTAATGGAGAAATTCTTTCTCCCGGGGTTCCCAAAGCCGCCCCGTCTGTGTCAGGAGAGCGCTTGGATTTGGGCAGAGGGCAGATGCCGTTCTGGGGCTGGAGTGGAGTTCTCTGCTTTTGAGAGCAAAGGGAAAGTGGGGTGTGGTGCTTGGAAAAAGGTGTCTGTAAACACCCCCCTGCCCCAGTGATGCCAGATACTCGGGGTGCCCTTGCGGCTGCAGGATGGTGAGTGAGATACCCTGTTGGGCTCAGAGGCTGAATTGACTTGGGGAATGTCAAGGTTCCTTCCCCACTCTGAACTTTAGGGTACAGATGTGGGGACCTGCATGAAAACTTCTAAGCTTCTCTACCAGCTTAGATCTGGTTTTGCTGCCACCACTCCCAAGTGCTAACTCCCTTCCCTGGGTAGCCTTGAGAGACTCCTCCACCAATTCCCTGGTGAACACTGATCCAAAACCCCTTGGATCTTAAAACAAGGAAAAATCAATCAGGTTCTTAAAAAGAAGGCTTTTAATTAAAGAAAGAAAGGTAAAAATCATCTCTGTAAAATCAGGATGGAAAATAACTTTACAGGGTAATCAAATTCAAAGAGTCCAGAGGAACCCCCTCTAGCCTTAGGTTCAAAGTTACAGCAAACAGAGGTAAACCCTCTAGCAAAAGGTACATTTACAAGTGGAGAAAACAAAGATAAACCTAACACGCCTTGCTTGGCTGTTACTTACAAATTTGAAATATGAGAGACTTGTTCAGAAAGATTTGGAGAGTATGGATTGATGTCTGGTCCCTCTTAGTCCCAAGAGCGAACAACCCCCAAAACAAAGAGTACGAACAAAAGCCTTCCCCCCACCAAGATTTGAAAGTATCTTGTCCCCTTATTGGTCGTTTGGGTCAGGTGTCAGCCAGGTTACCTAAGCTTCTTAACCCTTTACAGGTAAAAGGATTTTGGTGTCTCTGGCCAGGAGGGATTTTATAGTATTGTACACAGGAGGGCTGTTACCCTTCCCTTTATAGTTATGACAGGGAAGCTGGAGGCAGCTGGTGTCTGGACAAGTCCCATGTGAGTGAGCACAGAACCCTGAAGGGGAAATGGTAAGGGGTGGACGTGGGACTGGGGCCCATCAGTCTGACCAGTTCCTGGGATCGAAATCCTGACCCTGAGCGGGACTCTAGTGGGTCCAGAATGAGCTTCCTGCTTTCACCAGGAGCTTGATAACTGACAGACCCTTTGATGTTACCATGTCTTTCGTTGCGTGTCCCTTTGTACTAACCTGGCCCAGCTGGGGGGCAATGGCCAGCCCCAAACAGACCCATCTCTCTCGGTCAGTAGCAGCTCTGCAAAAACACATGGCTTCCTCGCAGGGCAAATTTAAAAAAATCTGTGAATTTCTAATTATGGGAAGGAGCCTCCTAGTGCCTCCATCTCAGCAGCATTTGTTTAGTCCTAAAAATAGCCCTGGCTTTTGCTAGCTGGGTTGGTGCTGGGGGCTAATCAGATGCTTGCTGTAGAACGGGCTGGTTCCTGTGACCTTCAGAAGTGCTGCTCCGAATGCTGTCAGCCTGACTCCATGGAGACGGGGATGTCCATGTGCCATCCGAGTGCACCTCGCACAGTCTCCACTGCGCCTGTAGTACAGGCAGCGTCGGGGCTGTGTTGTGCTGGGTGCTGTGCGAAGGGAGAATGGGGTGTGGAGGTGCATGTATAAGAGATGGTTCCTGCCCGGAACGTCCTGGGCCAGCACCGTAGCCATTCTGCACACCCTCCATGGCAGGCCTCCAAGCTTCTGCATGTCTCCTGTCTGCAAAGAGAACTTGGCAGAACCCAGGGTCGGAGGGCCAGTGAAATCTGGCAGGAACTGGCCTCCGTGCAGATGGTTGGGGGCTGGAGGAGCTAACTAAGAACAACAGCGAAGGGAACAGAAACCAGAAGCGTGTGAACACCGCTGAGGGGAAGGTGCTGTTCGGGGCGGTGTGTGAGCTGTGTGGGGCAGTTGTTGTCCCTGTGTTTGCTGAGTGCCCGGCACACTGCGGCCTCACCTGGCTGTGCCCTCTGGGCACTGCAGCGGCACAAATGTGATGACAATCGATGGGAAGTTTAGAATGGACACCGAGTCCTGCATGGGAGCTGGGCCAAGTCATGTCCCGTGGGGAGGCAGGGAGCCCTGTCACTGCTCAAGGCGGCCCTAGGAATGGAGGGAGCCTGCACTACCAGGAGGGAGGGATGGGTCCTGATAGGAGTCCTCCCTCTCCAGGTTAGCTACTTCAAAAGGTAGAAACCTCAGCAGCCCTATGTGAGTGCCAGGCCCTTCCCCAGGACAGCAGCTGGGGGCCAAAGCTACCTTGTGGAGCATGGTGATTAAAGGGCCAAATGTCCTTCAGCTGTGTGGACGCTGCTGGCTGCAGCCCATGAGCCCTGCCACAGCATATCTGGTATCCAGGGCAGCTGACATATGCCAACAGGCTGCAGGTGGCTGGGTCCAGGCTGCTTCTCCGTCCCCTTTGCATCCTGAGAGCATGTGGGTCCTGGAGGCTTTGTTCTAACACCTTACTATCGATCGCTTAAAGCCAATTTAGTTAATGTGTGCAAGCCCCAGCATGGACCCACGGACGCCTCTTTTAATTAATTAATGGAGATATCCCATCTCCTAGAACTGGAAGGGACCTTGAAAGGTCATCAAGTCCAGCCCCCTGCCTTCACTAGCAGGACCAAATACTGATTTTGCCCCAGATCCCCAAGTGGCCCCCTCAAGGATTGAACTCACAACCCTGGGTTTAGCAGGCCAATGCTCAAACCACTGAGCTATCCCCCCCCTCCCTTTGAAGCTGGTTAGCTCCATTTAGCTTGTGCCAGGAAATGTCTTGTCCCACGTACTGGGTAGCTGCTCCTCTGCCCCCTCCCAGCTGGAGCACACCCCCTTTGTGGTGGGATCCCACGATTCTGCCAGGCTCCCCCGGGCCCTGGGCTGCAGTCCCCCATGATCGCTGGCTGAGACCCGCCAGGAGCAGTGCCAGTGGTTCATATGCTGACCAAGCACTGCGGTCCTTCGCTAGAACCAAAGCATTTTGAAGCCACCAGACTGGACATGGAGCTGTTGCCTGGCTCTAAGCAGGCCCCCCTTCCTTGCCTGAGAGGGGCTTTTAACCCTTTAGGGTTCTTCTGTGCGCCAGGCTTCCTGCTTTGGCAAAAACAGCCTTGTCAGAGGTAGGGTCCTGGATGCTAACGGCTTCCCCATTGTCTTTCAGTTGGGTGCTGAGGGCTGCTTATCTAGATCTGTCGTGTTGCTTTCCTGTTCGCTCTTTCCTGTTAACTTAGCTCAATAGAGGGGCCATACTAACACCCCCACCCCCCAGTTATACAGCACTGTAACTTTACCTCTTTGCCCAGGTTGTGTGCATGCAGATAAGCCGACCTGCTCCTGGGGGCGGCTGCAAGAGGGAGATGAAGCTATTGTCAGATGGCTTCTGGCATGGACCTCTCAAAAGCAGCTTGAGTAGCTAATAAGAATGGCATCCGGACTTCCCAAAGACGTTGAAGACTCGAGGAATTCCGGTTTGATCTGCTCTCGGTAGCTGCCGACATCCTAGTGCCACTGTAGTTTTTGATTCAGCTGCGTGCCGTGCAGAAATGCTGCATCTTACCCCGAGCTCAGCTGAGCCCAATGGGAAGCTTGGGCACTTCAGAGTGCTGTATGTGGGGGGGGGGCATGCCATAGTGTTTCATTGGACTCCAATTATTGACATCCTTCTCTCCAAATTAAAATGCTGTTAAAAAGTTTGTTCCTTTTGGCTGCTTTCTGGGTCAGGCAGGCCCCACGTTCTCCTGCTCTTTGTATTTTTGAATCACTTAAAGGCAACTGGTGGCTCTAAAATTCGAGTAGAGTTGAGGGCGTTAACGATTCGTTTCTTCCTAACTCCCTCCCCCTCTCACCTCCCTCTGTCCAAGAAAAATCCCTCCCCCAGCACCATGTCGCAGGCACTCGCCTGCACTAGGCATCCAGCAGCAGAAGCGATTTTGCTTCAACCTAATCTTTGAACCTCTTCTGTGTGGCAGCTGCAAGGCATCCAATGAGCCTGTAGACTCCAGGTGCAGAGACTTCGGCCATGTCTACGCTCTGGGCCCTGCTGCTGGGCTGGTGTAGCACCCTAGCGTAGAGACGTGACAGTGACGAAAGGGATTTTTGCATCACTGGTGGTGATCCACCTCTCCAGGTGGTCGATGGAAGAATGTTTCTGTTGACACAGCCCTGGCTACACTGGGGGTTAGGTTTGCTGTCGCTGTGCCGATGGAACTTTTCTGTGTAGGCCACAGGCCTTCGTGGTGGTGATCTCCAGAGATTTCTCAGCGCGCAGGAAAACAGACATTTGTGAAACTTATTCAGTTTAACACAAAAAGGAAATTGGTGTCAGGTTCTGCTCCGGGTGGCTTGGAGGGCTCCTTTATCGGTTTGTAAATGTTGCTGTGTACAAGACCCTGCAAACAGGAAAACAATTAATTACTTTCCGCAAAGTGCTGTCAAAGAGAGCAAACTGCAGACATGCAAACAAGGCTCTGTGATCTCTTTATCTTGCAGTTACCTTGGGTGTTGTAAGTCCCAGGCAGCCGGGTGATCTTGCAGTGAGCTGGGGTTTCTCTCATGCTTTTGCAGTTTATGGATCAAGTCAGTCCCATGTTCTGATGTTCCTGTGCTTGGGATCCAGGTGTCAATAAGGGACTGACTTGATTGCCTAGTGGGTGGAGTTTGTTTTACTGAAGTGATTAGCATGGCGGGAGACAGCCCTTTGGATGTTGGCATTTTGACAGGAAGGGCCGTGCACTGGGCGTTTGGCCATGAAGTAACAGACCCTCTTTCTTCCCTTTTCCAGGCTCTGGGAAGAGAGAAGCGGCAGCACACACCATGCTTTGCTGGAAACGCACCGTCCCCTCGCCCCGCGGACCCTGAGACACCTGCCCCCTCCTAGGACTGCGGAGCCCTGAGCTGCCCCCTTTCTTTGCTGCATGCCCAGTCACGAGTGCTGGATTATGTTCGTCGCATTCTCCCTCTGCTCCATAATTTGGTTGAATCGTGGCTTCAAGTTAAGGAAAAGGGGCTGCACTTCAGCGTGCGGGAGCTTGAGCGTGTGCGGGGCCATCCTCACCAGGCTTCGCTCGACCTGGCTCGTGCAAAGATGGTAAACGCACAAAGAATGGTGCAGGGCTAGAGCAGCGCCTGAGCCTGCGCCCGACGTCCCGAGCAGCTGGCCCGGCTTCAGCCACCCTGTGCAGCAGAGAAGATGGGCAGCACCGAGGGCTTTCAGTACCGTGCGCTCTACCAGTACTGCAAAGAGCGCAACGAGGACATCGACCTGCTCCCCGGGGACATCCTGGTGGTGAGCAAAGGGGCCTTACAGGCCCTGGGCTTCAAGGATGGAGACGAGCAGACGCCCAACCAGATCGGGTGGATCCCGGGCGTCAATGAGCGCACCAAGCAGAAAGGGGATTTCCCTGGCACCTATGTGGAGTACATCGGGCCGGTGAAGATCTCCCTCCCTTCCCACAGACCCAGGGTGCAGAGACCCCTGCCAGCGACTCCTGGGGCCAGCATCTCCCGCATGCAGGAGGCGCTGGAGCAAGGTAAGCCCTGCCCTGCACTGCAGGGTCTCACTAAGGTGAAGCTATAAGGAAGTAACAGCTTCTCTGCCTCCTCCTGGCCTGCGAAGGCTCCTCCTCTCCAGTGGGGTTGAGAGCAGCAGGCAGGGGGGTCAGGACTCCTGGGTTCCAATCCCAGCTGTAGGTCCTCATGTGCTCAACCCCCTTCCCCGCCCCGCTTAGCAAACTGAGGCTGTGCCTTCCAGGGCTGCTGAAGGTTAATCCGCTTGTGCGGGAGGTGTTGATAGTGCAGATTCAGGTCTGGGGAGGTGCGGGCTGGGCCCCCGCCTGCCACTGTTGCTCAGCTGGGTTTTCACTCTCACAGCACAGGCTGGGGGGCATCCTGTGAGCCCTTTCCCTCACCCTATGGCTTCTAATCCCAGAAGGCGGAGGGATGCAGGCATCCAAGGGGGGCTGTGTCAGATGCAAGTCCTGGGATGGATTTCCATCCGGGTGAAGCGCCCTCCATCCCAGTGCTGCTGTGCCTGCATCCCGTGCCAGCCGCAGGAGCCGTCATGTGCATTCTGGCTCAAGTTTGTGCAGGTGCTAAAAAGCCTCTCTGGCCAGGCTGTCCCAAGTGCGCTGCCCAGCCAGTCGTGAACCATGGCCACCGTGGTTTCCAGCTGGGTTTGAACTTGGTCAGCCACAAAGTGCCCCAGCCACAAAGTGCGGTGCAGCCAGCCAGCCAGCCCCCGGAGCCCCTTGGCAGCATGTCATGTGCCCCGCGCAGTGCTGTGTCTGTGTGAGAGGAGCCTGCACGCTAGGACTGTGAGGGCACGCTTGGGGCGTGGGTACGTTGCGCATGCCCTGGCATGCAGGGCTGTATGTCCTGACCATGCTGCTCTGTGTCTAGCCAAGAGCAGGGAAGGATGTTTTTCTGTTCATCTCTGCTCGGCACTGGCAAGCCCCCAGCTGAGCATGGCGTCCAGTTCTGGGCACCGCACGTTAGGAAAGATGTGGACAAATTGGAGAGAGTCTGGAGGAAAATGAAAAAAGGTTTAGGAAACCTGACCTATGAGGAAGGGGTAAAAACCTGAGGCATGTCCAGTGTAGAGAATAGAAAATCTGGGGGGCCTTGGTAAGTTTCCCCCTGTGCTCTAACAGGGAGGGGATCAGTTGTTCTCCCTGTCCACTGGAGGTAGGACTAGAAGCAATGGGTTTGATCTGCAGCCAGGGAGGTTTAGGTCAGATGTTAAGAAAACTTTTGCCAGGGAGCTCAGCTCCGGACCAGGTTCCCAGGGGGGTTGTGGAATCCCCCCTCACTGTAGGTTTAAGAACAGGCTGGACAAACACCTACCAGGGAAGGTCTCTGGGCTCCGTGCAGGTCCTGTCCAGCCTGACATTGCTACAATTCTGGGATTCTCTCTCCACTTAGCTTTAGGTTTGGAGGCCGGGAGGAATCTCTGTTCTGGGCTAAGAGCCTTCCTGTCCGGTTGGGTTTCTCTTGCTCGTACCCTGGCAGAGTCAGAGATTCAGGCTTTCCCCTCATGGCCTGTCCCGCCTACCTCTCCTCCCGTGGCTGTTGTGGGGATGCCCCGGGCACTGCTCCCGGCTGCATGCCTGGCGGCCCTGCTGACGCATAGGACGGGCTCTGGGGAAGACCAGAGCAGTCATTGTCTGAAAAAGCATTTCTTCAAATCGGAGCGACTTGCTTGTGTGTCTGGTGCTGGGCCCCTCCTCCAGCGAGTGCTGTGCTGCATCGGATGCTGGGCAGCTGTGAGGGCTGGGCGCTTCCCCCCAGGCGTGTCTCGCTGGCGGGTGGGTCCTGGGCCCTGAACACCTGTGACCCGCTCTGCCTCCCTGGGGAGAAGTTGGCCAGGGCGAGGGACAACAGGGTCCCAGATGGTTCTGTGATACGAGTACCCAATAACTGCCTGGAAAGCCCAAATCTGTGGTTTGTGTGTAAATCTTAACCTTTCTCGTGTGTCAAAAAAAATACTGGCTTGGGGCGTGGGGGGGAGGTGGGGTCTGGCGGGGGCGGAGGAGAACAGAGAAGGCGCCGTCAGCGGTGGGGGGCAGGAGAGGAGGACGGGGAAGGCAGTGGGGGGGGAGGAGGACGACAAGGAAGGTGGGGGTCCAGCGGGGGGGGGAGGCGGAGGGGAAGGTGGTGTGGGGGGAGGAGGAGGAGGAAGGTGGGGGTCCAGGCGGGGGGAGGCGGTGTAGGGGTAGGAAGACGAGGAAGATGGGGGTCCAGTGTGGGGAGGGAGGCGGTGTGGGGGGAGGAGGAGGGGAAGAAGGTGGTGTGGGGAGAGAGAGGGAGGAGGAGGGGAAGGTGGGGGTCCAGCGAGGGAAGAGGATGAGGAAGCCATAGGCAGCTGGCAGGACCACGGTGCCCTCCTGGACTGAACTAGCCCCTTACAAAGAGCCCTGCCAAGATGCAGTCCTGAGCAGTGGAGAGCTGCGCTGACCCCTTTCCTGGGCACACAGTGGGCATGGTCGGGGGCGACCCCTCTCTCTCCCCTCCTGGCCCTAAAACTGAAGGGTCACAAGCCATTCCTGGTCTGGGGCGAGGGCTCAGCGTCTGAAATGGGCAACAAGTGGCAGCTGCCCTGTGCCAGGTGAATGCCAGGGCTCAGCGGGCTCGGGTGTGGCTATGCCCTGGCAGGCCGTGTGTGAACGTTTCTGGCTAGGGACTGTATGTGGAAGTGCCCCCCCCTTGCAGCAGTGCTCATGGCTGCGGGAGGCAGGTCCTCAGCCAGCCAGGACCCACAGCCTGGAGGGACTCCAATGTGCGCAGCCTTGTGTAGCTTGGGCACGGGGTGACGCTGCAGCTCTGGACCTACCTGGTGACTGCTTCAGCTGAATGCAGGGAGCCCGTGGTGCCCAGGAGGGCCAGAGAGACGAGCCCCACGGTGACCCTGCCTAGCTCCAGTGAATGCAGCCCCGAGCATGTGAGCTTGTAGCTGGGAACGTGTGGTGAGTCGCTGGGTCTGGCTGCATCTCACAGGCGAGGAGCTGAGGCCTTGCCCTGGAAGCGTCTCTGCAGCAGCCCCAGGTTACAGTCTGGACTGCACACTAATGGGCATGGCTTAGCATTCATGCACAGAACACACTAGCTTGTCTGGGACTGCCAGGGACCCTGGCCGGGGGCCGAGGCTGGGTCGGTGCCAGCAGCGTGTGGATGCACTGAGGGAAGGCAGGCAGTGCTTTAATGCCCTACATCTTTCCCATGGGTCTAAATCTCCCATTTCTAGCCCTGTTGCTTCCCAGGCACGGGAGTGAGGAGCCAGGGAGCTCTGCGAGCTCTTTACGGAGCTCGGAACGGTAACAGACGGTGAAGCCAAGCACTAGCCCACGTAGTCTGGGCGAGCTGGGAGCCTGTGGAAGCGTGTTCGGGTCTGGCAGCATCCTGACACACCCAGGTTCTGAGTCAGCGACTGTGATGGGCTTGCTCCCAAATAGTGACCGTGTTCTTCATCTGTAACCAGCCTTGTTCCCAGCACAGAGCCCTGCCCATGTGAAGGACGAATCGCTACAATAACTCGCTGTTTGGCCCTGGGATGGCTGTGCCACGCAGCCGCGGGGCCTGCAATTCAGCAGCCTTCTGCTTGCGTCTCTGAGGTGGCCGGGCTGTCCAGCAGACGCTGCAGGGCCCAGCGTGCTTGGGGATGTCACGCTGAGACCTGTAATATCTGTGGGCCCTGCTTCCTCCCTGAAGAGGAGGGTTCTAGACATCAGTTCTCTGGGTCCTGGCAAGTTGGCCTGGTGTGACCCCTCTGCGTACCCAGCAGGCCTTGCGATTGGCGTGCAGCACTCTAGCTGGGTTCCTGGCCCGCCTGCCGAGCACAGACTCCTGTGAGCTACGATGCAGACGCTAAGCAGGGTTAGGGACAGTCTTGGAACCCCGCAGTGCAGCCCTAGCCTGGAGCTGGAGCAGAGCGAGAGAAAGCAGAGGAGAAAACTGCACAAACTAGCTCACCCTGGTTAGATTTCAAGCCTTGGTGCGTGCAGCAGTCTCGTGCTCAGTGGGTATCTGCGGTTAGGGCAGGGGGGTGGGGGTCCCCTGACTGATCCTCCAGCCTCTGGGAAGGGTGAGGGGGGACCTGGGCCCGGGTCTCTGCAGGGAGTGCTGGGTAGCAGCTCCTACGGGACACTGGCGCTGCTGCCTGGGGGAGGCAAAGGGCCAGTTTCCATGTTTAACAAGCAATCAAGGGCAGGAATGTGCTGACATGGCATTCTCTCTGGAGCTGAGGATTAAGCCTGGCTCCCTGCAGCCAGCTCCTCCCCCCTCCCCAGTTCCGCCAAGCCCCCCTTAGCAGCCAGGGCCAGGCCCTAGATCCGGGCCTGGAAGATTTGGATACTGCATTAACCCTTCCTGTGCCTGGCCGGGTCAGTCTGGCAGGAATTCATGAGTCTTTCCTCCCCTTGGCTGGGACGGGGGTGCGTGGCTCTAAGGAGTGAAGATGGGGAGGGTTTTATCCTTCCCCCGGAACATCCCCCTCCCTCCTGCCATTGCAGAAGTTTGCTAGTTTAAAACTTCCCACCAGTGAGCCCTGGCTAGTGGGAGAGACGCAAACCTGGGGTCTGACCCAGGCCCAGCCTGGGCTGTGCTCAGTGGGCGACGTGGTGGGTCTGGTTCCTCTGAGTGTCGTGCCCAGTTCGGTTCTGTTGCAGGGTGCGCCACCGCTTCCTAAACGCCTGAGCCTCAGGAAATTCTATCCCTGCTTGCAAAAGAATTGTAGCATTGCCCTCGGCCAGCAGCTCTGGCTCCACATGGCCCCTCTCTCCTCCCCCCGCCCCAGTCAGCCTTCCCGGAGTGGAAAGTAACTTAGCCCTCCCCTGAGCACCAGCCCCGCAGTGTGCGAATCCCCCCCAGGGGCCCTCCCTGCCATCCTTCCCCCAGCCCTCCATCAGGTCTCCAGCGGGGCACCTCCTAGGCCCCTGGCTTGCTGCTAGCACAAGGACAGCCAGGATCAGGGCCTGGTTGTGCCAGGCCCTGGACAGGCAGGATGAGAAGCTCCCTCTCTCCGGGGCACTGGATGGCCTGCGGCACCTTGGCTTGCGGAGTCCCTGCTGAAGGAGCCAGCTGCCGACCTGCTCCTGGGTGCTGGAGCGTCGGGTCGGCCCCCCACTGGCTGCGGGCCCACCAAGCCGCTGCCGTGGGTTAGAAGCAAGCCGTGCAGTCAGAATTAGTCCTGCGGCCTCGGCGGAGCCTCTGGCTGTCGGGTGCTACGTGGGCTCTAACTGCCCCCTCTCCCCTGCTCTCTCCATCAGGTTGGCTCCTCCCGGACCTGGCGGAGCAGTTCACCCCCCCTGAAGTCGCGCCCCCGCTTCTGCTCAGGCTGGTGGAAGCCATTGAGAAGAAAGGTGAGAGGGGGAGGGGAGGGGATTGGGGTCCTGAGCCCCCGTGTGAGCAAATGGGCAGCATCCATTATTAACCCCTTCTCTGCCAGGCTCCCTCCAGGCACAGCGACTCCGCTTAGCCGTTGGAAAGCTGTGCTGGGAACGCCCGGCAGGCGGCAGGGAGCCGGACATCCTGGCAGGCTCGTTACCAGGACGGGTCTGCACCCTGTGCACCCTGCACAGTGTGAACTCGCCATGGGACTGTGGCCATGTGCCTAGCTATACGCAGCATGTCCAGGCACTGACCCTTGGCCCAACTTGGCAACCGCTGGCCCAGGAATCCTATGCTAGTCCAGGGCTGGCGTGTGGCTAGTTTGGAGGCCAGAACTTAGGCTGGGTTTCCTAGTGGTCAGGGACCTAACAGATTGGGCCATCACCTCGGGAAAACGGCAAACGCTCTGTCTCTAGAGTCTGTTAAAACAGCCTGATCGGAGGCTGGTTAGCCCTGGTGCAGCTGACGTGACTCTGAAGCCCTGATCTGCTGGGACGTGGCTGGTGGGCAGGGAATGGAGCTAGCGTTGGGTTAATAACTGCTGTGGCTGCAGCTCAGAGATTATCAGCACTGCTGAAGTGGCTGCCTCTATTCACAGAGCTAACATAAACCGTCCTGCACTTCCCACAGGCTTAGACAGTGAGATGTTATACAGGACGTCTGGCTCGGAGTTGAGACAAGCACTGAAGACCGGTAAGAACCAGTTCTGTACGGAGGGGAGGCGAGCTGGGTCAGATGGATGAGATTAGTGGATGTGACAGCGCCAGCAGTAATGAAATCCAGGCCAAGCTTGTCTTCTGTCCTCAGCAAGTTGTAACTCCCAGCAGCCGGCTGCATGGGAGAGGACAGGCCCATCTTGCTGTGTTGGTGTAATTGCACACAAGTGTCGCTTTCAAGGCGGTTGCACTTTCCTGCAGCTTGGCAGGAGGAGGAGGAGCCTTGTGCAAGGGAACGTGGACACGAGTTCTGCTCATTGGTCACGGGGCCTGGAACTGATGTCGCAAGCCAGCTCCTCCTGGCTCTCCTGCTACACACTGAGCGTGGTGGGCCCTGTCCCCTCCCCAGCCAACTCTGTGTTGATGGCCATGCTCCCACGCTGCCCTGGCAAAGGGCTAAATGCTGCTTCCTCAGCTCCAGGCTGCCCCAGGGATCAGCTCAGCCGTGTCACTCGGGTTCCCGGCTCATGACGCCGTTTGCTCACTTCCTGCACATGCAGCTGCAATGGCAGCTGATCTCGCTGTGCCGGCTGCCCTCTTGGCTGGGCCCTCGGGGTCCAGGTTCAGGGAGATGGTTCCCTGCTCTCCCCCGGACTGGGGTGCAGCCTCCTGGGGGTCGCTGCTGCTGCTGTGTTTCCCCCGGGCTGCCTGATCCTCCTTGTGTAGAGGTCTAAAAACACAAAGGCCGTAAACCAGCTGGAGCAGGGAGTCTCTGGCCTGCCTGACGCCCGCTCCCTGCCAAGCAAAGCCAGGCTCTGGGGCTCTCTGCTGGGAGTGAGTAGAGGAGCGAGCGTTTGTGCTCATGCCAGTGGAGTTGCACTGGGCCGCGTGGAATTTGCGGGGCTCCTATCCGGGCTGGGGCGGCGCCGCCGCCGTCTGTGTCGCAGAGCGAGGCCTGGATGCTGGGGAGCCGCTGGGGATGGGAAGCGGAGAGTGTGTCTGTCCTTGGCAGCTCTGCCCTGCGCCAGGCCCTGAGACAGACCCCTCCCATATGCCACCTCTTTGTGCCCCAGCAGCAGCCGCTGCTGTGGATTCTGGGGCCTCTCGTGCCCCCACGTTCCGCGCTGGGGAAACTCTGGGCACATCCTCTAAAGCTGAGCTGGCCAGGGAGCCGCCGGGGGCTGCCGCTGTGAGGGTCTGTTTGCTCTGTGCAGATTGGGTGCTGGGCGACGTGGAGCCGCTCGACGTGCATTCCCTGGGCGAGGCGCTGCGGGGCTTCCTGCAGGACCTGCCTGCTCCCGTGGTCCCGGCGTTGGTGCATGGCGAGATCCTGCGCATCCTGCAGGGTAAGGGCTGGGCTGCGGGGGGAGGGGAAGCTAACGGGCAGGAAGCGGGGGAGGGCACTGATGGGCTCCAGGGCATTAACCCCGGTGCACCAGAGGCAGGTGGGTTACAGTGCTGGAGCGTGAGGTAGGCCTGGCCCCTGCCCTTCCAGCGTGTGTCTTGCTTCTCTCCAGAGATCCCGCAGCCAGAGAGCTGCAGGAAGCAGCTGCTGCTGGCGCTGGAGTCTCCTGCGGTCCCTCTCCAGAACCTGCTCACCTTGCAGTTCCTGCTCCACCACCTGGAAAAGGTGTCCCAGCAGGCCGAGAGCAACGGACTCCACCCTCGGGCCCTGGGCGAGATCTTCGGCCCTCTGCTGCTCCGGCTACCTGGCACCAGGTACGTGGACTGGGGGCTTGCGTCTCACCAGTGGGCAGATGGGCGAGAGCAAGACATGGCTGGTGGTGCTCTGCCCAGGAGCCGGCCTGCCAGCTGCCACGGGCCGGGTGTCTGAGCTAGGGGTGTGCAGGAGCCCGGAGTGCAGCTGAGGGCCCTGTATTCGACCCCCTGCATGGTGACGCTTTGCAGGCAGTGACCCCTGACCTAACCCCATCACACCCAGACGGCGCTGCCTCCTGCACCAGCATCAAGGGTAGACGAATGGGGTCAGCCCCTCACTAGTGGTCTGTAAAGAGACCCTGACTTATCAGCAGCTCATCTCCAGCAGGGCTGTGAGCAGTGGGCGCAAAGCCCAAACCATAACAGCCGGTACCTCCCCATGGCCTCTGGCAGCTCCACCCCGCAGCTGGGTTCCTGTTCACCCCCAGAGTGGAGAGCTGGGGCCACAGGCTGCAGGCAGAGATGGGACTAGAAAGTGGGGAAGACCCTGCGTCTGTCTATCAAGGAGCTTGCACTTTGCTAGCTGTAGGCCAGGCTTGGTGAGCTGGGAGCAGTAGAATGAAGTTCCCTCCCCTCTCCACCCCGGGGTTACAGGCTGTCTGGATAATGCAGCATGCTGCGCTGCTCATCTGAGAGTGCACCCCAGAGCCAGTGGGGAGGGGGGGCTGGGGCAATGAACCCCCGCCCCCTCTGGCTCAGGTTACAGCCCAGCACCTGCCGCCATGCCTCCTTCCCGGGTCTGTTGGCATCTCTCCCAGGTGCTGATTTCTGGTCCCTGTCTCCCTGCAGTGCAGAGCTGAGCCCCGATTTCTCAGGGCTCTTCCTGGAGACGCTTCTGCAGGCAAAGGACTCGGAGCCGGAACAAGTGCCACCAGGTACTGAGCCCCACAAGCTGCAATGCCCGGGGGTCCTTCCAGGCTGCTGGTCACTTCCTGGGTGGCTTAGGGAGGAGGTGGCCATTCAGCCTCCCACCAGGGCTGTGTGTTTGGCTCGTTCCCGTCAGCCCCGTCACGGAACGGGCACCGCGCGGGGCACTCACTGAACTGGCCCGAGTTGGTCTGGGCGCAGAGACGGTCTCTCCGGCGCGCTGAGAGACGCTTGGGGGGGGGCATTCGGGAGTGGGTGCTGCTGGAGGACGCCGCTTCGGGGCTCTCGAGGTGGCACCTTCGGCATGCCCAGCACCAATGCGGTTTGGCGCCCGTTTGGAGCTGTGCCAGGGCAGCCCGAAAGCAGGGCGTGGGGTGCAGTTCTGGGGCTGGTGGCGAGCAGATCCTGGCCGGAGCGGGGCCCCAGTGCTCACCCAGCTTTCTTGCAGCTCTGCCTCCGAAGCCCTCAAAGCCGAAGCCCGGTGGAGCCAGCCTGGCCAATGGGAGCAGCGCGCCCCTGCAGGAGGCGGAGTGGTACTGGGGTGACATTTCCAGGTACCGGGCTCTTCACACCGCGTTCCCCTGGGCAGCGGGCCAGCGAGAGCGCCGCCCACCGCCCCTGGGTAGCTGTTAGACCCCCGGGAGCTGCTAACTGCGGGGGGGGCTGTTTGGGGATGTGTGGGGCAGGGCTGGGGTCGGGCAGGGTGAGATTGACTAATCCCTACGCTCCAGCCCCCCACGGGAGAGGTGGGTTCTGTGGGTCGTACCCTGGCGGCTGTGATCACTTGTGCCCTGTCCGCTCCCCAGGGAGGAGGTAAACGAGAAGCTGCGCGACACGCCTGACGGCACCTTCCTGGTCCGCGACGCCTCCAGTAAGATCCAGGGGGAGTACACGCTCACGCTGAGGTACGTGCGCCCTGAGGCTGGGCTGGGGCAGCAGGGCCGCTAGCCGTACCCCTAGGTAGAGCTGGGCGGCTGGCCGGGCTCTGCCCGCTGTACACTCTCTGTCTGGTGCTTCACTGCCCCAGGACTAGGACCCTGAGCCCCATGTGTCCCCAAGCTCGTGGTGCTCTGAGTCCCAGCGTGGAGGCAGGGCTGCAGCCCCGATAGCCTGCCAGCTTCCAGACCAGACAGGCTCACCCGCTCCCCGGGTGTCTGTGAGGGGCTGGGGGGAATGATGCAGTGTGTGCATGTGCGGGGGGGCGGAGGTTTGTCCTTGTCCCGTGCGAAGCCTCCATCACTCCCTGGTGCCGGACTGAGGGGACGCCCGTCGGCTAGTGCTGGGTGCTCCGAGCCCTGCCATGGCCCCCGGGGGTGTCACAAGGGGGTCTCTGCCTGGCGCTGAGCGCGTTCCCTGCCCCACTTCCGCTCCGCAGGAAAGGGGGCAACAACAAGCTGATCAAGATCTTCCACCGGGAGGGGAAGTACGGCTTCTCGGAGCCCCTGACCTTCGGCTCCGTGGTGGAGCTCATCAACCATTACCGGCATGAGTCGCTGGCCCAGTACAACGCCAAGCTGGACAGCAAGCTGCTCTACCCCATCTCCAAGTACCAGCAGGTCAGGCTGGGCGGGGGGATGTTCTGAACCCCGTGGCCGTTCCCCAAGCTGAGCGCCATCCGTGTGAGCACAGGGGCCAGCCATGCCTATGGCAAGGGGGCGTGCCCAGGGCCCGGGAACAGGCCAATGCTGGATTGCAGGTCCCTGGCTGAGCTGTAAGCGGATCCTCCTGCCTCCCTGGCGCGTGTGAGGCCCGGCTGCCCAGAGGACGCTCTTTGGCCAGGGAGCCAGCCAGGGGAAAGGGGAGCCACATTTGCATGGCGTCCTGGGACGCGCTCCTCCCGGCCCAGCTGCATCCCCTGAGCCGCGGGGGGCTCGGCCCCAGCCTGACGCTGACGTCCAAGGGGCTGTGGCCAGGGTGGAGGAGCTGGGGCTGCCCAAACCATCCCCTGGGCAAGAGCATGGCCTGGATAGTGGGACGCCGGTCAGCAGGGGCCACGTCACAGGTAGGGCAGGGGGCTGGGCCAGGCTGCTGAGGGGCGCAAGCAGGGATATGTGGGCAGGCCCTATGCCCCGGGGCTGCCTATTGGGGCCTCTGGGTGCCTCCCACTGCAAGGTAATTCTGTCCTGTCCACAGAAGAGGCGGGGCTTGGCGCAGGCGGGCACAGGGCCCCACATTGCCCTGCGGTGTCTCATCATTCCTGGTGCCCCGAGAGCTCCCCCGATCCTGGCCCTGCCCCACCTCCTTCCCTCTACCTATGGCCCTCTCACTCCTGGGCAGCGCTGGCCTGGTGGGCCTGCTCCATGTCCTGCAGCGAGAGTGCAGCAGTGCCCAGCTCTGACTCGTCCTGGGGCCTTCTGTGTGGCAGGACCAGCTGGTGAAGGAGGACAGCGTGGAGGCTGTGGGGGAGCAGTTGAAGGTCTATCACCAGCAATACCAGGACAAGAGCCGGGAGTACGACTTGCTGTACGAGGAGTATACGCGCACCTCGCAGGTACCCCGGGGCCACGCGCCCGCCCCCTCACTGGTACCCCGGGGCCACACATGTCCCCTCCTCCACTGCCGTTCTGCCCAACACTCCAGCCAGCACAGGGGTGTTACCCTGCACGGCTCCTCGTTACCAGTGTGGCCTGAGCTCTGGCCAGCTTGCCCTGCTCTGTAGGTGATATGGGCCCTGGAGAGCCCTGGGAGAGCCGCGCTGGGGTGCAGATACCCAGCCTGCTGGTGAAGGGGGAGGAATCAGCAAAGTGAGGGGCCGTAGGACCTCCGAGGAAGGTTCAGGCTGGCAGGGCTGGGGATCAGACCATTGCTGGACAGCCCAGGGGTGGAGTGGGGTTGGGGTGTTGCTGGGAAGGCAGGGGACTGGGCTGGGCCCCGATCCTTGGCTCACTCGGTGTGCCCGCTCTCCCCAGGAGCTGCAGATGAAAAGGACGGCTATCGAGGCCTTCAACGAAACCATCAAGATCTTTGAGGAGCAGTGCCAGACGCAGGAGAGGTGCAGCAAGGAGTACATCGAGCGCTTCCGGCGGGAGGGCAATGAGAAGGAGGTGCAGCGGTGAGGGCGTAGCCTGGCGCTGCCAGGGGCACAGGCCTCAGGGCAATCTCCGCCCCAGCCTCGGGGACGGGCGGGGCCTGAACGGAGCAGGGCTAGTTCCTTTGCAAGGCAAACTGCTTGCGTGACTTTCCTGTCACCCAGCAGCCCTACCATGCTGCAGCTGCCCCCAGTCCTTCCCGCCTCCGCCAGCCGGCTCCAGCTGCCCGGCAGCCCTTCCCCTTTGGCTCCAGCATCGGGCCCAGGTTCCCCTCCCCAGCCCATAACTCCTGTGCCCTCCCCCCCAGGATCCTGATGAACTCCGAGAAGCTGAAGTCGCGCGTCACGGAGATCCACGACAGCAAGATGAAGCTGGAGCAGGACCTGAAGAAACAGGCCTCGGAGAACCGGGAGATCGACAAGCGCATGAACAGCCTCAAGCCGGACCTCATGCAGCTGCGCAAGCTCCGGGACCAGTACCTGGTGTAGGTGCCGCTGCCGGCCCCTTCTCCCTGCCCCGGCTCCCGGCTCTGACCTGGGAGTGACGGAAGAAGCAGCCCCTGGGCCCTGCCATCGCCTCCGTAGCCCCAGTCGTGATCTGTCCTTGCTGCTCGCTGGCTCCCGGCTGGGCCTCCAGCCGTGTTGGGGGCTGTGGCCCCGGTGCACCCGCCCTGTGGCTCAAGGGGCATGGCCCTGCAGCATCCCCGGCCTGGGCCCCGATCCTGCCTGCTTGGCTCATTCCGTGGGGGATGCTGCCCCCTGCTGGATCAATTTGTGAAGGAGGCCGGGATGAAAAGCTGCTCCTCTCCCAGCCCTGCAAATCGCTCAGTTCTCGTCTTCCTCCCCCAGGTGGCTGACGCAGAAAGGGGCCCGGCAGAAGAAAATCAACGAATGGCTGGGCATCAAGAACGAGACCGAGGAGTAAGTGTCCCAGCGCTGCGCGCTGCTCGGAGTCCTTCCGGCCTGGCCTAGGTTTGAGTGGAGTCGCCCGAGCATTGCTTCCCCCGCGAGGCCTCCCTCTGCTATTGCAGTGCAGAGCCCTGCACACACGGCCACCCCCGGTGCCGTGTTACAGAAGGGGGAACTGAGAAGCAGAGCGGGGCAGGGACGTGCAGCCAGACAACGGCTGGGAGCAGGAACTCGCAGTCCCCAGCCCTGTGCTCGTCCCAGGCTGGCTGTCGAGCTCCTTCTCACTGGGTATCAAGACGTGATGCAGCTGCCCATGTTTCAGGTGCTTGTGTCAGCACTGAAGGTGCCTCCGTGGCAGGGGCTGAGGGCTGCAGGCTCAAAGCTGATACCAGGCCCTGAGGCTGTCAGCCTCCCTCAGGTTACCGTGAGAGCCCCCTGCACGCCTCGGGTGCCCAGTGGAGCAGGGGCTGGGGACTGAGCCATGGGGAAGGTTCAAAGGCCCAGAGGGGTATTTGGGAAGGTGCTGGCGCTGGGGAGGCACCACTCTAGGCTGGGGGCTCCTGCATAGCGACGTAGCTGGGGAGGGGCGGGGGGGGAGCGGAGTTGGCCTAGCTTCCCCCAGCAGCGGGCGCACACCCTGTGGGGGAAGGGTCTGCTCAGCCCCGGGCTTGCCTTGCAGCCAGTACTCCATGATGGACGACGAGGAGGAGCTGCCGCACCATGAGGAGCGCACCTGGTACGTGGGGAAAATCAACCGTGTGCAGGCGGAGGAGATGCTGTGTGGCAAGCGCGACGGCACGTTCCTGATCCGCGAGAGCAGTCAGAAGGGCTGCTACGCCTGCTCTGTGGTGTGAGTTCCTTCCCCCTCTTGCAGGGCCACCGCGGTTCTCCCTCCCGCTGCCAGCCCCAGTCCTGGGGGAGTTGGGGGGGCTGCCCCTGCGAGGCGGGGAGTGGGGGCCGCTCTCGTCTTGCCTGGCTTGCAGGAGGGGTCCCTGACGGCTCATGTCCCCATCTCCTGGTGGCAGCCCCAGTGACTTGTGCGGTTCTGCTTCCCCGGCAGGGTGGACGGCGACACCAAGCACTGTGTGATCTACAAGACAGTGACCGGTTACGGCTTTGCCGAGCCCTACAACCTGTACGCATCCCTGAAGGACCTGGTTCTGCATTACAAACACATGTCCCTGGTGCAGCACAACGACTCCCTGAATGTCACGCTGGCTTACCCGGTCCTCTCCCAGCCACCTGCCAGATGAGCCACTGACGCAGGGCACAATGGCTCTGCCACCTCCTCCCCAGGCTCTGGCTCTGTCCCTTGTCTGCCCCCCAGAGCCTGGGGGATGTCGTGACCTGTTCCTGGTGTCCCGCTCGCTCAGCAGTAGAAACCCAGCTGGACGCTGGCCGATGGGGAGGCAATGCTGGGCCGTCGGCTTGGGGTGTAAAAGCCGTTTGTGACTTCAACCTTTCCGAGGAGGAGTCCAGTCGCAGGCTAATTGCTATGGGGGGGCTTCATCTCTCCCTTCGCAGTTCCCCGGGGGTGTTTTTGCTCCCCTTCCCCCCGCTGTGTATCTCTGTACAGCTCGGTTCCTAGTTCCTGTGTGTGCCATGGGGTCGCCAGCCCAGCGGCCACGTCTCACGTTATAACTGAGGTGCTACCCCTGCTCCAGTGGGACCAGCCCTGCTGGGAAGGGGCGGGCAGCACTCTTTCCTGAACCACAAGTGGTCGTTGCTAAAACCGTTCTCTCCTTTCCCTTCCCTTCAGTAATCCTGGAGTGAGCACCGGCCTTTGGTCTGAAGGGTGCCAGCCTCTCCCAGAGAGAGAGCAAGAAAAGGGGGAACTTGATCATTGAAGGGGTTGGCGAGGGCACGGCACGCTGGCTCCTTGGCAGAGATGCCAGATGTTCCATGTAACCCCTGGGTGTGGCTTGCAGGGGAGGCTCCGTTAGATTAGTTCGTTACTAACCCACCTGCCTCGCCTTGGTTGTGCCAGCTAAGCTGTGAAATCCGTGTTGGTACCAGTGCTTCCCTGGGCTGCGTCTGGGGGATGCACAACTGTGCTTGTCCATTGCTTCTGGGGAGTCTCCTCCGTGTCACTGGTCAGAGCTCACTGTAGCCATGTAAATACGGTTATTTTATAATCAGCTGCTTGCTAGTGCCCGTTCGTATGCAGAACCCTTGTTACGACATGCACCCCTCGGGCAGCGACAGACCGAGCGCATCCCTGGGCCAGGGAGAACGGGAAGCCAGAGGTGGCTGGAATGTCAGACACGCTGCGAGCCCTATGCAGACGGAGGCCCTCTCTGCAAGGGAAGGGTGGGACTAGGCCATGCCCCTCCAGCCCTGGGGCCTCGGCATGGAGCAACGTATATGCGTGAGGTAGAACGATGTAGGCGGAGCCAACTGTTTCTGAAGCACTTCTACTCCTGAGTACTGTACGGAGCCGGCACAGAGCTGAGCCCTGGGGAAGGAGCTGGGGATTTCTGTAATATTTCCAGTCGTGTCTGTTTTAGCACGAGGGAGCAGGAGAATTGCTGTGTGTTTCCTGATGATGCCTGAGCCAGGCAGCAGTGCAGGGCATGGGTCTGACCATGTGGGGCAGGGGAGGGGGCCAGTGTTACCTACCGGGTGAGACGGGGGGGGTTCTCTTCGACAGAGCAAAATGGTTTGGGAAGCTTTCTGGGCGGGATGTGGTACCTCTCCCTCCGTGTCGGGCCTCAGTGGGCACCAGCCCCTGGCAGCACCTGCCCCTCTGCCCCAGCATGGCTGGCAGCGCCAGGGGGGTGGAGGGGTGATGCTCAGGATCCCACAGCTCTCTCCACTCAGCACTGTGCCTGCCCAGCTCTGGGGAGGTGCCACTCGCCCCCTTGATCCGTCCCCAAAGGCCCCATGTTCCGTCCCAGCTGGGGGTGGACGCTTGGTCTGTGTCGGTAGCAGCAGGTGGGAGATCTCAGCTGACAGTGTCGGGAGCACGGGTGTGATCTGCTGAGGCGGGGTGTGCATACCGTGTGTGGGCGACGCTGGGGCGTGGCACAGGCTTGGATGCTCTTCGTTGTCACGACCACGTGACTCCCCCCGCCCTTCCCATGCCTGCACCATCGGCTCAGCTGTTCGTGCCCTGCTGCTCTGGCCTGGTTTCCTCTCTCGGTAAACACTGGGGCTGTCTCCAGTGTGGGTGGAGCCAAGTGTGGCAGCCTCGGGCGCTCGTGGCGCTGGGAATTGCAGGAGCTGACGTGGCCCTACGTGTGGCGGTGTGAGCATGGCTCTCTGTTCTCACCTGGGTGCACGTGCTCTATGGCATTGGTGCCTGCGCTGGCTGGAATGGACTCGGGGCTCAGCGAGCGAGTGCTGGCATCTCCTCGCCAGGCGGAGCTCGGCTGTCTGAGCACCCTGGACTCTGCGCCGGTGGACTCATGGCTGGGCCCAGCCACGTGCTGGCCAAAGTGAGCCGGTGGGGGGGGGGGGGACAAGGGTAGGG